ATTTTCAAGCTTTTTTAACCAACGAATACAATTTTATTGATATATATTACTTTATTGTTGGGTAAAAAAGCGTGAAAATGTATTGTTACAATAGCAGTTGAAAAATATTAAAAATAAAAGGGCACAATTTTTTTTTAGAGCCATTTAAAGATCGAATTTTGACAAAATGTATCAAATTTAAAATTGAATAATTATTTTGTAGTTAAAAATTTATAAAATGCTCAACTTCTATATCTAAGGATTCAAAATTTAAAACAAACTTCCACGTTACAAAAAAATCTAAAAAATACATAGACACAGTTTTTTTTATAGTCATTTTAGGTTCAAATTTGGACGAAATTACATAATAAAAAAGCTAGAATAACTATTTAAGTTATTTTGTTGTGATTGTATAATATTATTCGTGGGTACTGGAAACTTCTAAAGTATACTACTATTATATATATATGATAGAATCACGGTTTGTTGTTGATGTATAACGCGTTATAAGTACCTCATGGATATTGTGATATGATTAATTTGGAATTTATTATAGGTACCTATTAAAGGTAAATTTTTTTTTTAATTCCATAGATCTGTATACAATATGTCTTCAACCTAAATAGAGACATACCGTCTCCTTTCAGAATCGTTTTCTTATACAATGATATTATATCATTGAATATAAATTTAATACCATCCATTATACGCAGTGACCCACTTGTAACCTACTGTACAGCAGAGCACCTTTTAAATTTTTTTATTACAGACAATGCGTTATTCTTACTCAATTTTATTAGTTTCAATCAATTATATAAAGAACTAGCTGATCCCGTGCACTTCGTCGCCCGTTAAATGGATCAACTCAATACTACCTACTCAAACTTTGTTCAATTCATTAACGTGTATGGTGTTCAAAATTTATCTTATCTTTCCCGTTGCCCTGAATAAAAATTCTGAATCGCGGCAGTACATTATCAGGTAGGCAATCTACCTGCGGTAGATCGCGGACCCCGTGCTGTTTGTACGGAAGTGTATGATTTAACTCTAAAGTATCAAAGTTATACCAAGTTTATTTTGATGTAATACTGTGGATTAATATAATAAATTTGGTTGCTCGTAAAAAATCGCAACTCTTAAAAAAATTATGATTGTTGAACTCCTTTTGGGTGTAATTTTCTGCGGTAAGTGCAACTCTGCCACCCTGGTAAGCATTGTTCAATAATTCGATTTGATGCAAGCTTGTACCTGATCTGCCCGAATAACCAATGGCAACCAATAAATAAATGCTAATTACTAATGTAGACTGTAACCAATGGCAACTATAAATAAATAAAAATAAAATTTCCAATTTCTATCGTGAATCTCAATGTCCCTGTTTCAGCACCTATTTAAAACGCGAATTTTGGCAAATCCTTTCTTAGCGCACGTCTATATTATAATAGCTATCTGTATGCCAAATTTCAGCCAGATCCGTCCAATGGTTTGAGCTGTGCGTTGATAGCAGTCAATCAGCTTACTGTTTTTTATATACAGATATGGTTGCCATGGTAATATGGACCCACACACACACACACACACACACACACTGACATACATTCATTTTTATATATATAGATTGATATGAAATCTTGGTAACCTTAGTAACCATGGCAACCTTGGTAACCATGGTAACATGGACACACAGACACACAGACACACTGACACACTGACATACATTCATTTTTATATATATAGATATAGATGAATAATTATTGTAAAACAATTAAGTTAATTTATACTATGATTATAAACAAATAACTTTGAACATAGTTCTGGGTAGGTTCTACAAAACGTCATATAAATAATTTATAGAGCCATACAAGCATAATTACCTAGATTATATTTTTAGTCATTCAAATAAATTAGTTATAAGTGTATTGTACTGTTTTAATGTTGTGTAATGATTAATGACTTTAAGTCATGTAAAAAAATATAATCATATACGTTAGAAATATCTAGTACATAGTATTAAATATTTGTTGATTGAATAAAGTCAACTTAGTTTCAAAATTACTATGTTTACAATGTGAATTTATTTTATGGGTTTTATGTAGAAATTCAGTTTTGTATGCCAAATAAATCAACAATTTCTATAATAGTAATGCACTTATTGAGTATATTCATTTTAAATGATATTATATTATATTATATTTATCACAGGATATGGTGCTCAAAATATAAGAGGTACCCATGCAGTGGCGTCCGCAGGGGGGGGGCTAACGGGCTGAAGCCCCCCCCCATTGCCCATATTATTATTACTTTAAAAAAAAATATTAATAAAGTTTAAACTGTCAACTATAGTAAGCAAGACGTAACTTTCATAATATATCTCTTACCAGAATGAATTCATTTTTGAAAAAACATTGTATTTGCATACCAATTTTCATAAATTATCTGTAATTTTTCGGTAAAAGAATGAACTACTTGTATGAAAGACCTTGTATTGTCTAGCCTTAGATATACATATTTTATATTTTATAAGTTTTGAACTACAAATTAACTGTGGTTAAATTGTTTTGAACTTTAAATGCATATGTAAAAAATAACTTACGTATTACATTTTTTAAGCTTTTCGACCGGATAAATAATTTTTTATTGACATTTATAAAAAAATTTAATTAGTCAAATACAATCCAAGTGAGGACTGTATAACCAAGCAGGGGCGTATATAGGATTTTCTTTAGGAGGGGGATATCAAAATTTGTTTTGTGCTATTGCAACTTTTTGTTAGTTACTCCATGTAAGGTATATAATAATAATAAATGTTGTGTAATGTCACTCACATGCCCACAGGATAACAAAATTATAAATAACAACAGTACTGCAGCAGTTTTTACTTTATACATGGAAAAACATGGGTAAGGGAGGGGGTCTATCCCCCATATCCCCCCATAAATACATCACTGTAACCAAGCTATTGTTACCAAACAATTTAAATAAGTTTTCATTTTTTTCTCCGATTAGGTACTTTTAAAAGCACTGAGCAGATTTAATTTCGACCTCCTAAAAGTACCAACTAGATCCAATTTGCTTCCAAAAACATACACTGGGCATCGAAGCTTATGATAAGAGCATTTTTCTACCAGAAAAGTTGAAAAGTTACAAACATTTTAAAATACCTCAAATAAACGTCTGAAATTATTAGACTGGACAAAATAAAAATAAATTTGTAACTAATTTTCAAGCCCCCCCCTCCATTGAAAAATCCTGCGGACGCCACTGTACCCATGTATTATATATTTATAAATATGGTTAAATTTATTCAAGTTTCCACTGTATAAAATAAATGTTATACCTACTTAACTTATTTTTTTTATAAAAATGTTTTCATATTATTATATATTATTATGATTACGTCATGTATACAGTTATAGATTACAATAATTATATATGAGGTATTGGAATAAGTATATAATAGGTCTAAATTAGGGTGTCGTCATAAAAATAAAGGTTGAGAAATACTAGCCTAGGAGAACTTAGTGTAGGTCTGTCCAATGATTGGGCCCGGCACAATAATGTTCAATGGGCCCCGTTACAAACTTACATGTTTTTTACCCGGGGAATTTTATTTTCCGTGTACAATTATTATCATAACTATAGTCTATAACTAGAGTTCAATCTCATAGTATTAATTATTTTATTGAATTATTTTTTGTTCATTTTATTTAAGGGCGTCGATCGGCTGATGCCTTTATAGTACAAAAACTTGTCTTACAAGAACTACTCTAACGCCCTGTTGAATAGTCAGATTTCGTTAATTTTTTTTTTATTTAAAGAAGAGAACAGTTTGCAGGTCGGATCAAAGCCCGATTAATTAAAATTATAATTATTACTTAAAAAATTTATATTTGAATAATGCACAATATTTGTTATTTATTAACTGTATTTTTCTAATACTATTTAAAATTAAATTAAAATTCGAGCTTTGATCTGACCTAAAAAATGTTCTCATATTTCAGATAAAAAAAAAAAATTAGAAAAATTCAACATATCAATGAAGTGTGAAACTTTTTCCTTTGAAGTGATTTTTGTTGATATAATACACTGTATCAACCCCTCTTCCCCTGAATAGATATCTGGCAGTATAGATTAGTAAAAAAGTATTAAAATTAAGTTAGGTAACAACTAATACATAAAATGTAATATTTAAATTTGATAGTATTTCGGAAAATTGGAAAAATCGGCACCGACACTAAAATATAGTAAAATAAATCAAATAATGTATAGGTAGTAGTTACCTATATAAATCCGCCAATGTTATCTATTTATGTTATATTATGTTATATCTTATAATCGCTACATCATTGATTGAATAGTAATATGTAGGTATAGGTACCTATGTATATTATTCAATCAATGTCTGTTTACGATTTACCTAGTCTACTATATACATATTATATCATCGTACACACGTATTCACGTCTTACCTATAGTAATAGTACCTACCACGGAGCTAAAAAGTCAAAAACTTGATGGTGGTTTAAGTGAAAAACGCGTAAATTAAAATATCATACAGTGTTTACTTTTTTGTAGGTACTTATTCTATTATTTATTCATTCTGGGTCCGACAATAGGGATTAGGCTCGTGTATATAGATATTATATAGATACCTATTATATGGCTCGGCCCTAGTAACGACTCTCCTATTTGATTTTATTAGGTACCTATGTAATATGTAGATAATATGAATTCTAGTTTTAAGAAAAATAAAATTGTCTTGTCTAGTTATGTGCTTCTTAAATTGGCTGTATATTATATTATCCACCTATATAATTAATTAGATCAGTGCCTACCCATTTAATAATAGTAGGATGTAACATTACACAATTGATTATGAATTGAAATTATAATGCATTTATTTAACAGTCGATAATAACGCCACTTTAACATATTATGACACTTTACAACTCATACTTATGAATTATGATTATCCTATATAGTTGTTATGTTTATAAATCTGTTTTTGGTGCTTTACATTTTTACAATAAAATTTGCAATAATATAATTAAAGTTAAAATACAAATAGAAGAAGCAGTTTTGGTATCGACAGAGTTATGGTTAATGGGGAGAGTGTCGTTTACAGACATTTGTACATTTTGAAGTGCGAAGGCTGTTGTACCACAAAACCTTTTAAATATTTTAATATTCATCCTTTTCGAACTTGATCCATCTAAGAAATCACTGAACGCTGAAGAAATGATCCACAAATATCCGTTCGAATCAAATGCAAAACTTGAAATCCAATCGAGTCTCACTTCTTGTATGTACAAGTCTTTGACGTCGAAATTATTTTTTAATGTGTTCCAGGCGATTACTTTCCTAGTCATGCCTAGATACAGGTTCCCGGTCGTATCCATGATCATGGCAGTCGATACGTCCGTTTTCAGTCCATGGTTGTTAACGTAGTGACTTATGTCATTGAGGAACGGCGCATCGAATACGCTCAACGGAATTGTGAATAAACTGTCCATTTCTATGGTAGTGAAGTATAACATATTATCGATCGGAGATATCGTTAAAATTGCTTCGTTGTAGTCCTTAACGCTGGACAATATTTTACAGTGAAATTTTTGAAAATATCCCAGATCATAGTTATAAACAATAAACCCAGAATTTGGACCTATATCAGCTATTACGGCGGTGAGTGATTTCAAGTCAATCGAAATACCACTGAGTACGCTTTGGATTGTATACATACCGCTCGGTATCACCGCCGATCGTATTATTCTGCCCGTACCGATGTCCAGTATAAGCAATTTTGGATCGCAGGTGTAATTGGGTTTTTCTAGATCGTAAACCATGCCCACGTCCAACACCCACAAGTGGCCTAAATGATCGATTTCGATGTCCTTGACGTTTTGCATCCCAATGCAGTTTCCTACAATCTGAATATTTATCGTCGGAAATGGTTGTATAGTACCTCTGTAACTTTTGCACAACGTGGCCGGCACCCCAGGCTTAAACCTGGGTATGGCCATGTA